GGGATCCGCTGTTTTCCTTATCGACTTGAAGACGCCCTCCCGTCCATCGAACGCGGTTTCATGATGCGTTTGCTCGAGCATTCTGGTTGGCCCATTTGGTTGCTCCGACTTGTGGAGGCGCTGCGCGAGCGACGTGGCTCTGCAGGTCGCGCGCTGCGCGGGCTTCTCCCTCGCGCGAGGGGTGCGTCAGGGGCGCCCGCTATCGCCGCGCCTCCTCGCGGTTGCCTCTGATCTGTTGCTCCGTCGCTTTCCATGCCTGCTGCCGGCTGCGCTCGCCTGGTCCTGCGCGGACGAATTGGTCATCCTGGCAGCTCGTGCTCTCGCCCAGTTCATGTCGACGACTGCGCGTGGATCCCTGGCTGGCGTTCGAATTTCTTGAAAACGGCGCTCTCCCCCTTGTTCGTTCGGGACAGGCCAGCTTGGCGGGCTGTCATCGCCTGCGAGGCCATGGAGTGGGGGGGGGGGCATGTCCACCAAGGATCAGGCTAAGTCTTCGAATCCTGGGGCCAGGCTCAAGGGGCGCTTCGTGGGCCGCGCCGCTCGCCAAGATGCTGGACCCTGCCCAGCTCTGGGGGGCTCGGACCGGGGGTGTTCCGCGCGTGCGAGGCCTTTCGGGCACGCGCGGCGTTCGTCGTCACTTTCGCCGCGCAGTTCCGACCCCCGCCAGCTTCTCGCCCTGCCGCAGAGACCGGGGCTCGCGCCGGGCTGCGTCCCAGCGCCGGAGCTTGGGCGAGCGCCGAATTGTTGATGCGGCTCGGGGATCTCGGCTTCCCCTGCGCGCTGATGGACATCTGGAGCGCTTCGATCGTCGCTGAGGCTCGGCAGGGCGGCGTGCGCGCGCGGGAACGGGCGCGCCAATTTCGACGCCGCGTGCGCTGTACTTTCCGCAAGCTCCTGCCCGTCCACGTCGAGCGGTGGCTAGAGTCGAACGAGCGCGCTGGCTCGAATTGGCGCAGGGCCTCCTGCGCGCGGACAGCGACGCAGGAGGCGCGGCAGAAGATCGAAGGCCACGTGGCAAGCCGAGCGCCACAGGGCCCTCGCGGCGGGTCGCCTGCGAACCCCGGCGGCTGCTTTCATGCACCACCGTCTGGATCATTGGGACATAGACGCGGTTCCAGGAACGCGGGTTCCACGATTTCGGTCGCGCGTGGACGCTCTGAGCGCACTCGTGTCGCCCTGCGTCATGGCCGCGGCTTTGCGCGCAGCCCTCGCCAGCAGACCAGGCGCTGCGCCTTCGGCTGCGCCTGGTGCGTGGGACACATCGAGCATTACGCCCGCTGCGGCGACTACCGCCGGTGGAGAGAGGGGCATTGTAGCTTTTCGCGGCCGACGGCTTCCCTGTGCTCGCCCACTTTCTTGGGCCAGCGTGCTTCCCCGAGCTCTACGCGAACAGGGGCGGCGCGCGCCAAAAGCTCGAAGCTCTTCGGGCCGTGTGCTGCTACGCGCTCTTCCGCGCGCGCTCGGCGGTCCGCCACCGCGCAGTCGACGGGGCGGACGCTGGCTCCACTTTCACGGCGGCGGTCCGCGACGCCTGCTCGGCGGAACCGATGAGTGATTAGCCTGCTCGCTCGGTCTCGCTCCTGGCCGCGCGTGCTGGCGCCCTCGTAAGAGCGGTGTGCCGACGGCGAGGCGCCTGGACGAAGCGACTCTCCTCCCCTCGCACCTCTCCTCGTGTTCCCTCCCCCTCTTCCTCCTCCTCCTCCTCCTCCTCCCAAGGATGGATTCGCGCGTCCAGGTGTCCAGGCGTGCTGGCGAGAACGCGCTGGCCAAAGCGGGACCCCTTTTCGTCCGCTAGACGTAGCTCGTGGGCCACAGCGCCACGCGCGTTGGAAGGCCGCGCCGCGGCCAGGGTCATTGCCCCAGGGCCGAGCGGGCGGAGCGCGGCGCAGCCGAGCCAGTGGAATCGCACGCCCACCCGCTGAGAGGCGGCGGGAGAGCGCCCCCGCCCCCGCTCCCGACGGTCGTGGAGGTCGCTCGGGGCCGCGCAGTGTCACGGGAACTCTTGGCGTGGCCGCGCGCCGAATCCGTAGGAGGAGAAGGAGGAGGAGGAGGAGGAGGAGGAGGAGGAGGAGCAGGAGGAGGAGGAGGAGGAGGAGGAAGATGAGGAGGAGGAGGAGGAGGAGGAGGAGGAGGAAGTGTTGGAGAAGTCCCTCGCGTTGCGTTCGCGTGGTCGCGGATTGCGTCGGTTCGCCGTTGTCCCGGCCGCGTGGCCGATGGTTTGCGTGCACGTCATGTTGCGCGTGCGCGGTTGTTCCCCTTTTTTTGGTGGGGTTATCCCTCTTCCTCCTCCTCCTCCTCCTCCTCCTCCTCCTCCTCCTCCCTCCTAGCGAGGTACACTGTTAAGTGCATGGTTTTTGAGTTCAGAAGTTATCCTGGTAGGAAGGGGGCAATGCTAGGACGACCTTTTGGCCCGAGTGTTCCGCGCGTGCCGGGTGGGAAAGCAGCCCGCCGCGAAAGGCTTCCCTGATCCAGCCTTTTGTCTCGTGCGCACGCGCCGCTCGCATGTCGCGATGGGTATTTTCAACTGATGTTACTACACTATGGATCCGAGGGTTTCTTGTCTTGTCTTGTCCTCTCCTCTGCCCCCCTCCCCATCCTATCTCTGCCTGTCTCGTCCTCCCTCTCCTCGAATTCAGCCACGCGAAGCTTCAGAGTGTGGCCGCGGAGGATTGGTCGTCGGCGCTGCGTGCCTTGGGAGTTGGAGGCTCGGCGGCCTAGAGGTGCCCATGTAAGTCCTGTGGCGGTGGTCGCGCCATGTCCTCCTCCCCTCTTCTCTTCTCGCCGGTGCTGTTTTTACTTGTGGGATGTTGCCGTAATGCTTGTCACTTGGTCAGTCTGTGCTGCGTATCGCCACGGAGCGCATGGACTGCACGAGTGGGGGTGCAGTCGCCCCCTCCCCCCTTGCCCCTCGGTCTCCTCCCAAAAGATTTGCGCTGGCAGAACATCTTCGCAGAATGAGTCGGAGTGCAGGCCCAGTCTATACCAATATAGTCCTGATGCCTCCAGACTTGTGGCTCTGGTCGAAGTGTGTCAGAGCGGACGGTGTCGCAGGTCAGCGCTCTGGTATCAGTCCCGGTAGGTGTGAGCAGTTTCTATGAGGGTTGTCGCAATCCCAAGCGAGATGATGTTCGAGTTGTAGTTCTAATGCGTTTCTGCAGTCGGGCCGCTGAAGAAGGAACCCTTTTAGTTTGGGAGGGGCACCGTGTTCCTTAGTTGTTTTACAGCGCTCGTTGGGTTTCCCCCAGGTTTTCCACGGAACATCGGAGTTTAATTAATGGGAAGAAGGGGCCTCGTTCCTTATTGATCGCCCCTTAGGTCAACGCCCCGACTGTATGAGAGTCGGAGCTCTGTTTGAAGAGGGCCGAACGCGCCCCGCCCTCATCCATCAGGAGGGAAAGAAACACAAAGACACAATTAATCGTCGACTCCCAGGAAAATATGCAAAAATATGGGAAGTGGTGGGGAAGACAAAAACCCAGAAAATATGGGAAAATATGGGGGATATTTTTATTTGTGTGTATTTATTTGTGTGTTCCAGTTCCCCTTCAATCCAGTCTGTCGGCACGCTCTACCCCCCCCCCACTCCGAGAGGGGGGGGGGGTCTGGGACGGCGGACCCGGGAGAGCGGAGGCGTCAAGCTGCTCCCCCGCCCCTCGGCTCCACCAGCGGTGCGCCCTCCCAGCGACAGACAAATACACCTTAGGCGATGCTTAAGAAAACTTAAGTTTTCGGCCAGAGTCTCGATTATTCTTAATTTTTCAATGGAAATCTTAAGAGTTTAATGGAAATGTTGGGTTTTTTATTCAAGTTCTGAGACTATGAATTTCTTAACCCATGATTTCTTAAGCATTTCGCAGGGTGTACAGTCGGGGCGCTGAAGAAGGAACCCCTTTCGTTGGGGAGGGGCTCCGCGTTCCTTAAGTGTTTCACAGCTTGCCTCAGGTTTTCCTTATGTGTTCGATGGGAAGTCGAAGTTTAACTCGTGGGAAGAGGGGGCCTCGTTGCTTATATAGGGTTCCTTAGGTCAATGCCCCGACTGTAGGTCCCACGATCGGAGAAGAGCCACTCCAGGGAGGGGTTGGGGTGGGGGGGGAGACGGGGAGCCGCATCCCCCCCGGATCTGCCCCAGGGCCCCCTTCAAAAACCCTCCCGGCCATTGGGCGGGAAAGGGGCCCAAGGGAAGGAGCTTTTTCTCCCTTCGACTCGATCACGATCTGGGTCGGTTCAGCTCGGGCGGGCGCGCTCGGAGAGCCCCAGGCTGCCGCAGGGAAATGGGGGAGGTTCGCTTCGACTGGAAAAGGCGCCTCCGAGGACCACGCCTGGACCACCGCCGCCGTCGACGGCGTCGGCGGCTTCTCATATCGCGGCGAGGGAGGTCCGGTCTTTCCCCCCCCCTCCTCCCTCCTCCTGCCTCCCTCTCTCCTCCCTCCCCCCCCTCCTCCCTCCTCTCTCCTCCCTCCCCCCCTCCTCCCTCCGCTCTCCCCACTGCCGGCTGCCTCTGTTCTTGGTTTCCCCGCCCTCTCGTTCCCGGCGCTCCGCGCCGCCCGCCTCCCTCTCGTTTCTGAGCGTGGGGCCGCCTGGGCCTCCTCCTCCTCCTCCTCCTCCCCCTCCTCCTCCTCCCTTCCCCCTCCCTCCTCCTCCTCCCCCTCCTCCTCCTCCTACTCCTCCTCCTCCTCCTCCTCCTCCTCCTCCTCCTCCGTTTTCTGCGTTTCTCGCTCCGAGCAGCGTCTCCCTCCTCCTCCTCCTCCTCCTCCTCCTCCTCCCCTCCTCCTCCTCCTCCTCCTCCTCCTCCTCCTCCTCCTCCTCCTCCTCCTCCTCCTCCTCCCCCTCCCCCTCCCTTCGCTTGGGAGGGTGGCGGTCAAATCTAGAGTACTCAAATCTAGAGTACTCCCCCTGGCTCTCGGGGCGAGAGTCTTTCTGGCAAGGCGGCGCGCAGACTTCCGCAATGCCGAGCCCGACCGGTCTCCTCGCTCACCTTCTGTCCGTGGCGGCGCGCGCAGGCGACCGGGATGCTCACGGAGGCATACCAGAGGCGCGCGCCCGATCCCGCTTTGCGCGCGCCTTCAGCCTTGGCCCGCGGAGGCGCTGCCGCGCATATCGCTGGACCGTTGGTTGGTTGGCGTCGCGAGAGAATTCGGGTTAGGTCTAGGTTCGCGCCGCGTCCTCGCGACGGCGACCTCGACGCGGTCGTTCAAGGCTGACTGCCCGCAGTGGCCCGGAGTCGGCCGACGTCGAACGACCCGCGCTCACGGGAGGCCGCGATCGATCCAGGTTTTCAAGATCCACGCGGTGCCCCAAAGTTCGACGCATAAGTGGCCATGACGCAAAACCGGGCCATGGTATCACAGCCCCTCCATCTCGCCCACCCCAGCTGAGGGATAGGCCCCGCGAGACCTGAAGGGAACTGCGCATATCCCCATATTCCCTTCTGGGGGGTTGATCGGCCAGTGTGGCCAGGGCCGGGCCAGCGTGGCTGGGGATGGAACGATGCCCTGGCCTGGCCGCAGAGCCAAATACTGCATGACAGTTTTCGGGGATCCGCGCGGATCTCTCGGCTCTGCGTTGGAGCCCCCACAGCGGCGGCTCGGGCTCCGCCCTTGGCGCGCCCCTGACGCGCTTCGCGCGCAAGGGGAGGCGGTCCCACCAGCGCCGACCCCAAAAATTCGCGCGAACCTCCGACCGTATTCATGTTTGTGCTGGACTGTGTCTATCAAGCTAGGGCCCTTGAAGGGCCGCTTCGGGCCCCAGACTCGAGACGCGCATCGCCGTCGGTTTCCGCAGACTTTGCTCGAGGACTGCGCGAGGCCAGGCGAGGGAGCCTGCAGTCGCGACCGATGACCAGATCGACTTTGCATGCCTCCTGAATTCGAAGCCTTCTTTACCGCGTGTATCCTCTGGCTCGGCTGTGCCTTGCTGCCTCCAGAAGGGTCCTTGCATCCTCTCGGACGTCCTCTGACGTCAGCCGTGTCTGTAACTCTACCTGCCCGAGACGCTGCAGTGCTGATCAGCTCACTGGGCGGGAGGGGAGGTGCAGCGGTGGGCAGATGTCGCCGCCTTCCAGTCACGGCCGATGGTAGATGAGATCTGGACGCATGTGGGCACATGCAACAGCAAATTCTCGAACACAGATGACGAACGGCCCCATTGGTGTTGCATGACCGGCCTCCTCACTGGTCGCGTTCGCTCTTCGCGACTGAGGAATATGTCACGCGATCAAGAGCCGCTGGCAAGCGACGCCGCGCGAGGAAGAGGAGGAGGAGGAGGAGCTCCAACAAAACTGGGAGTTGGAGGAAGAAGGGCGGAAGCAGAAATGGGGCAGATGCGAATAGTGACGGGTGGGAGGCGAGGCGCAAGGAGCAGCGGCAAGACAAGAAGCGTGATGCGGAGGCGGATGTTGATGCGGATGACAATGAGGAGGCGCATGATGGAGGAGGAGGAGGAGGAGGAGGAGGCAGACGAGGAGTTCGAGCAGGAGCAGGATGAGACGAAAGGTTGAGTAGGGAGTAGAAGGATCGGGAGAGAGAGAGAGGGGGAAGGGCGAATGTGAGGAGCAATTATGAAGAGGATGGTAAGGGGGTATTGGAAGGCGGAGCAGGATGGTGAGTTGGATGAGGGATGGGAACAACGAGAAGGATGACCATATCGATGGTGAGAAGAAGGCGGAGGACATGTTGCGGATGACGAGGAGCATGATCAGCAATAATAGCATTGTCGAGAGCAGGAGCAGCGACACCAATCTGCGGATCAGGAAGAGCAGCATTGAATGTAGGCGGATAGTGAGGTCCTTTGATGAAGGGCAGGAATATATACATATAGATGATGCTGATGATGCTGATGCTGATGCTGATGCTGATGAGGATGATGAGGATGATGCTGATGATGCTGTTGCTGATGCTGATGCTGAAAATGATGATGATACTGATGCTGATGATGATGCTAATGCTGATACTGATTATGATTATGATGATGATAATACCAATAATGATGATGTTGGTGAGGATGATGCTGATGATGATGGTGCGGATGATGACGGTGATGGTGATGGTGATGGTGATGCGGATCACGAGATTGATGACGAGGACGCTCATGAGGTAGATAATGATAGCGACGACGACGATGAGGGGGATAAGGGTGCGTTTGACGATAGGAAGATGATGATGAGAAGGAGGAGGATGAGGATGAGAATGAGGATGTTGTTGATGATGATGGTGATGATGATAACTATGATGATGCTGCTGATGATGATGACGATGATGATGACTAGGATGATGAGGTTGATGAGGATGATGAGGCTGAGGATGATAATGAGGATGAGGACAATGATGATGATGATGATGATGATGCTGATGCTGATGCTGATGCTGATGCTGATGCTGATGATAGGAGGAGGATCGTGATGCTGCTGCTGCTGCTGCTCCTGATGACGATAATGATGATGGTGGTGATGGTAATGATGTTACTGCAGTCGACGACGACGATTCCGATGATGCTGCTCATGATGATGATGTTGACGACGACGAGTCTGGCGGTGCAGATGATGGTGGTGATGATGGTGATTGTGATGGTGATGGTGTTGGTGATGCTGATTATGATGATGACGATGATGATCGGTGATGATGCTGCTGATGATGATGACGCTGTTGCTGATGAAGATGCTGATGCTGATGGTGATGATGCTGCTGATTATGATGCTGATGTTGACGATGATCATGATCCTGATCAGGATGATGCTGATGCTGTTGGTGCTGATGCTGATCATGACGATGATGTGCATGACGCTGATGCTGATGCTTATGATGTTGATACTGATGCTGCTGACGATGCTGATGATGCTCATGATGCTGATGACGATGATGATGCTGATGATGTTGCTGATGATGCTGATGATGATGCTGACGCTGATGATGATGATGCTGATGATGATTAGTGATGGTGGTGGTGGTGATGATGATGTTGGTGGTGGTTGTGGTGGTGGAGGAGGCGGGGAGCGAGGAGGAGGAGGGCGAAGATGATGATGAGGAGGAGGCGGGGAGGGAGGGAGGAGTACCATTGGGAGGGGTGAAGGTATGATTAAGTATGGAGAGAAGTGGAGGAGAAGCCAAGGAGTGGACGAGAAGCGTGGGCGCTCGAGCGAGGAGAAGGATGAGGAGCAGCAGCGGCAGGACCATGATAAGGACTTGGTTAACATCGACCATGAACACGAGGAGAAGGGGATTGGAGGGGGAGCGGGATGGTGATGAGGAGGGATGATGCACGGGATGCGAATGAGGAGGGAGAGGAGGGGGGCGGGGCACGGCGAGGAGCAAGAGGACCACCAGGCTCGCCGAGTCGTGCAGCCGACGGACGGGAGGGAGCACGGGCCAAGTCATGAGCCGTTCACTTTGCAAGCCCAATGAAGCGGCAAGAGACGCGGAAGCGTGATACGACGGGCTGTCCTGATTTGGGATGCCGCCCTGATGGCCGAACTATTGTGATTATGCAAGTGCCGCGTGGTTCCGTGCTCAGAGTTTTCTTGACATTCGGCGTCGGGCTTCCAGTCAGGCAATATTGCCTTGGGCCGCTTTGGAAGTGCCACCTAGGGTGCACACCATGGTCGCGGGGGTCACCAACACCTGGTGCCCGTGGAGCTCGACGATAGCTTCAGCGGGCCCAGCAGACACCCCGACGGCAGACACGTGTGGAACACGAGGAGTAACACGAGGAGGGGAAGCAGGAGGAGGAGAAACACGAGAACCAGAAGGAGGCGGAGGAGGAGGAGGAGGAGGAATTGGAGGAGGAGAAGGAGCATTAGGAGGAGGAGGAGGAGGAGGAGGGGGAGGAGGAGGAGCAGTTGGAAGAGGAGGACAAGGAGGAGGAGGAGGAGGAGGAGGAGGAGGAGGAGGAGGGATGACTGGCGAGGATTAGCGCATCGAGGTTAGCAGGGACCGCCGCAGGGGTGCATGCTACCTGATCGTGCGCCTCGTCTCTCCGCCCAGGCCTATCATGGGCGGTATTGAGGGGGGCAGAGTCAAAACAGCTTCTTCGTGGTCGGGCGCCTACCTTGCCACAAACAGTTTAAACGTCCAGAGATCGCCCGAGGAGTCCCCCCAGGGCAATTGGTCAGAAGACCAAGCTGAAAGCGTTTGGCCCCCAACACATTATGAAACCCTAGCTGAACACGTGGCGTTCCAGCTACATCCCCCGAGAGCAATGCGGGCCTGCTTGCAATTTCGCACCACGACCTCATCTCCGCACCGCCGACCTTCGCACACGAGCTAATCCCAGAACTGTACCTGGAAACGTCCGCTCCTGCACTTCCGCCTTCTCGCATTGTCACAGCCTGCTGCCATTGCGCGCCCTTCTCGCATCGCCAGCGCCTGCTGCCACTGCCTGCCTTCGCGCACGAGCTGCACCCCGAACTGTAACTGAGGACATCCGCTACTGCACTTCCGCCTTCTGGCAGTGCCAAGACTTGCTGCCACTGCGCCCCCGTCTCGCATTGCCAGCTCCTGCTGCCATTGCGTGCCTCCGCACACACGCCGGCCCCCGCTTTGTAGTTGGTGATGTTCGCTCCTGCACGCTTCTCGCAGTACCAGCGACTGCTGCCACTGCTCGCCTTGTCGCTATCGGGCTCCGTCTTAGCCTTCAGTTTCCCGCGCGGAGTCGGTTGTAGCTGATGGCATCGGGCTCGAACTTCGCCTGTTCTCGACACGTCGGGCACCAGTTTCGCCTTGCGCTCTCTGGCGTGAGGAGGTTGGTGTGGCTTCAACTTCACCTTGCCCTGATCCCAGCGCTGTAGCTGATGGCATCCGGCTCGTCCTTCATCGGCCTCCCTCTTCACCGCTGGCTTTGTACATCGCGTCGGATGCAGCTGACGGCATTGGGCTCGTTCTTCACCTTTACACAGCGCCAGCGCCCGCTGCCACTGCCTGCCTTCTTGCTCGCACGGGCTGTTTCCAGCGAGGTTGCTGATCGTGGCCCGCAGCGCCGGCGTCTCCTGCCGCTGCGTGCCTCGGGAGCCTTGAGACGGGGGTCGATGCAAACGGGGGTCAGCCAGAGCGCCCGATCTTGCAGGATCCTGCAGGGACAGGGTCGCATTGACCCGGGTTTGGGCGCAGGATCCTGCAGGATTTTGCAGGATCCTTCGCATTGACCCGGGTTTGGGTGCAGGATCTTGCAGGATTTTGCAATGCCTGGCTGACCCGGGTCTGGATTGACCCGGGTCAGAAGATCACCGAGTGCCCCTCTTCTCGCGCGGGCTGCTCCCAGCGTTTCTCCCGATCGTGGCCCACCCGCACTCTTGTCGCTCTGGCAGCGCCAGCACCACCTGCCACTGCTTGCCATCTCGCACGGCCTGATCCCTACACTACAGTCGAGGCGCTGAAGAAGGAACCCTTTTCGTTGGGGAGGGGCTCGGTGTTGCTTGATTGTTTCACAGCTTGCCTCAGGTTTTCCTTATGTTTTCGATGGGAAATCGAAGTCTAACTTGTGGAAAAAAGGGGCCTCGTTCCTTATTTAGGGTTCCTTAGGTCAACGCCCCGACTGTAGCTGATCATGACCCTCGTCTGCCTGCACGTCCGCCGCGGCGCTCGGGAGGCCGGCGCCGCAGCTCGCCGGACAGACGAGGGGAGGGAGGGAAGGAGGAGGAAGAGGACGACGAGGGTGGACGCCTGGGGGAAGGAGGAGGAAGAGGACGACGAGGGAGGACGACGAGAAGGGAGGGGAGGGTGGAGGGAGCCCCGTCTCTTGGCGGGTGCGCTCGCGCCTGCTCTCAGCATAGCAGCTGATGACGTGGGCCGCCACGCTTCTCGATGTCGGCTCTCTCGAGCAGGGCCACTTCGAAGTTTGCCCGCGAATCACCCTTGCGCGCCCCGTGCAGGGGGGGCCGCTCGGGCGCGAACTGGCTAGGAGGATGGGAGGGATGAGGAGGAGGAGGAGGAGGAGGAGGAGGAGGAGGAGGAGGAAAATGAGGAGGAGGAGGAGGAGGAGGAGGAGGAGGAGGAGCGGCAGCCGGAGAGCAGCAGCAGCAGCAGTTGGATGAGGAGCCGGACGACGGGGAGGCGGACGGGCAGGAGCTCGCTGCCGCGGGGTCCGTCTGCAGCTGCCCCTCGGGCCCGCCTCGCGGACCCTGCAGGCCCCAGCGCGCCACCCCTGGTGCGGCCCATCCCGCGTCGAAGATGGCCACGTATTGGGCAGCGCCTCCCGCAGTAAGCGACGCCGGTGGATGGACCAGAAGATCAAAGGGGGAAGGTACCCATCTCGCTACTTAGTAGCGGGATGGGTACCTTCCCCCTTTATATGTATCCTGGGAGGCCCTCGTCGCCACCGCTGGATTCGCATCGAAGTCAGGGGCAGGACGCAACCAGGAAGGTCGGGGGCGTAGCGATATCGGTACGTTGGGCTCCTCCTGAGATCAGGAGGGAACAAAAACACACACAGACACAATGAATCGGCGATTCCCCAGAAGATATGGGAAAATACGGGAGGCGAAGACAGAAACCCCGAAAATATGGGAAAATATATGGGGAATGTTCTTATTTGTGTGTGTTTCTTGGTGTGTCCCGGGGCCCCCTCCTAAGAGGCGCCCCGCGAGCTGCCGGAGGCGCGGCCCCTCCGAAGCCCCCCGCGGCGAGGTCCAGCGCCCTCGGAGACCACCAGGACCTGAACATACACCTCACGGCCGTGCTGCTGAAGCTGGCCGAGGCCCTTTCGGCGGTCGACGTTCGATCCGCACCCTTCCTGCGCCTCCTCCTCCTCCTCCTCCTCCTCCATCCTCCTCCAGCCTCCTCCTCCTCCTCCTCCTCCTCCTCCTCCTCCTCCTGCTCCTCCTCCTGCTCCTCCTCCTGCTCCTCCTCCTCCTCCTCCTCAAATCCCGCATTATGGATTTCACTTCCATGTTCTGGCCCCCCACGGGGGGCCAGAATTTCAGCCTTATCCCCGCTCGGGCCCCACGTGTGGGTCGGGGCGCGAGCAGGGGCACGAATCGAATGTCGATCGCCCAGCCCCGACGGTGGGGCGAGGGGCGAGGGGGGGGGCTCAGATCCAGGCCTCCCGGACGGGGTCCGAGCGGATGGGGTCGCAGGGTCGCGCCGCATCGCCGATGCGTCGCCGACGCGGCTCGACGTGGAGCCCGACTTTCTCCACGCCGACGGCGCCGAGGCGTCGCCGGCGTCGCCGCTGCAGCGTCGCGCCGGCGAGGCGGCGCGGCCTTCCAACCTCGCCTCCTCGGACCCCAGCCAGGAGGCAGCGGCTCGGGCAGCAGACGCCCGGAGGCGTCATCATTCAGGAGGGGAAAAAACACACAGACACAATGAAGCGTCCCTTCCCCAGAAAATATGGGAAAGTATGGGAAGTGGGGGGGGAGACCAAAACTTAGGAGATATGGGAAAATATGGGGAATCATGTTATTTGTGTGTGTGTGTGTTTATTTGTGTGTCCCGGGGCCCTTCAACCATGAGTCGGCCCTGGCCCTTCGTCCACCTGCGCATTCGAGGGGGCAGGCTCGGCGTGTCGCGCGCGCCGCGCGGTGGCCGGGCCCCGGCCCCCAGGCAGCAGCGCCCCGGGCTCGTCCCCGCCTCCCGCGCCCCGAGGCGGTGCGGCACGCCGTCAGCACGAGCGGCACGGCGTGCCGCAGGGGCCGCCGCCGCGGCGCAGGAGCTCGTGGCCACGGTCGGGGACGAAGCACACCTGTAAGGAAAGCGTGATGAGCAAGCAGGATGTTCGTAAAAGCCACTTTCGGGGCCTCCACGCAGATCTGGCGGCGCCTCCGGCGCCGCCCCTGGCGCGGCCTGCCATCCCTCCGCTCTGGCTTCGGCGCCGTTCCAAGAGACCCGCGCGGACCTCGGAGAGTTTACGTCTACGTCGTTGTGTTCCTCTTGTGTCTGTGGGACGGGTTGGACCAAAGGGGGGGGGGATTGAGAAAAGGGGTGTAGCGATCTTGTTGAATGCACCTGGTTTCGGCCCCGCCGCCTGGCGCTTTGCCTTGACACACTGGCGCCTCGTGGCACCAGGAGGCGCCGGGGAAGCCAGCTGCTTGAGCAGGTCCAGCCCAGGAGGCTTTGGGGCGCAGTTGTTTCTTGGGAGTTGCCGCGCTTGCGCACGCAGTTGCAGCTCGTGTGTGCTGCGGGTTGCCTCCTCGCTTGCCCTCTTTCTTTCTTCTCCCGGAGACATTCTGCTTGGCATCGCTCGGACGCGTGTATTTTTTCCCTCGGCGAGGACCATCGAGGAGCATCCTGGATCATGGGGCGAACAAAACCCACGCGCGAAACCGAAACAAAAAGCACAGGGAATGGACGTCCGAGCGATGGCCAGAGGGGGACCCGGTGAGCAGTAGGGCCCCGGAGCCCCCAACTTGGCCAAAATGGGTGTGCCAAATTGGCCTGAATTGGCCATCGAGGAGCACCCTGGATCATTGGGCGAAAAAGCCGCGCACGAAACCGAAAACTAGCACAGGGAATGGACGTCCGAGCGATGGCCAGTCTGCGCTTGGGCAGCGATCATCGATCATAACGATAACAACGATCAATGATCACGATCATCGATCATCGATCAACGATCAATGCTTTTCTCCTGCTGTACTCGCTGGAAGTACGTGACACGGGACAAAAAAGGCCCGCCCAGGACTCTGCCGACCCTGGGTGTGAACTCGCTGGCTAAGCTTGCTCGAGTCGGCCCTGGTGCCAAGCCGGCCTTCCCTGGCCGAACACGGCACGGTGCCGCCCGGAGCCCGAGGCAGAGGCGCGGAGGCGGCGGGGCGTCTCTCGGACACCTTCGCGCCCTCGGAGATCGGGAGGGAACAGAAACACAGAGACAGAATTCATCGTCGATTCCCCAGAATATAGTGGAAAATATGGGAAGTGGGGGGGAAGACAGAAACCCCCAAAAACATTGGAAAATATAAGGAATCTGGTGATTTGTGCCCATCTATTGGTGTGTGTGTGTGTTTGTGTGTGTGTGTTTGTGTGTGTGTGTTTGTGTGTGTGTGTTTGTGTTTGTGTTTGTGTGTGTGTTTGTGTTTGTGTGTGTGTGTTTGTGTGTGTGTGTGTGTTTGTGTTTGTGTTTGTGTTTGTGTTTGTGTTTGTGTTTGTGTTTGTGTTTGTGTGTGTGTTTGTGTGTGTGTGTTTGTGTTTGTGTTTGTGTTTGTGTTTGTGTTTGTGTTTGTGTTTGTGTTTGTGTTTGTGTTTGTGTTTGTGTTTGTGTTTGTGTGCGTGTTTGTGTTTGTGTTTGTGTTTGTGTTTGTGTTTGTGTTTGTGTTTGTGTTTGTGTGTGTGCGTGTGTGTGTGCGTGTGCGGGTGCGGGTGCGGGTGCGGGTGCGCGTGCGCGTGCGCGTGCGCGTGCGCGTGCGCGTGCGCGTGCGCGTGCGCGTGCGCGTGCGCGTGCGCGTGCGCGTGCGTGCGTGCGTGCGTGCGTGCGTGCGCGTGTGTGTCCCAGGGCCCCCTTCAGGAGAAGCCGCCTGTGGCCACGGAGGACGGAGAAGACTCAGAAGGCCTCTTAGCAGGCGGGAGGGCTCCAGAGAAGTCCTGCCGCCCACGAGGGGGCTCGCACCTTCTGCCTTCCCCCCGGCGCACTGTTGGCCGATGCCACATTGATCGGGTGGATTCCGGCTCTTGTCGGCTGGTTTTCCTTCCCGTGTGGCCGTCGTCAAGGTCACGTGCGGTTCTTCCGCCCTGTTTTTTCGGGCCAGCGATTCTCACACCTCGGTTCAGGCTGTTGAGCCCCAGTCCCAATTGGGTCGGTCGTGATTTTCCATGACAACCTTTGGTCAGGAGGGAAAAAAACACACAGACACAATTAATCCTCGATTCCCCAGAAAATATGGGAAAATATGGGAAGTGGTGGGGAAGACAAAAACCCAGAAAATATGGGAAAATATGGGGAATCCTTTTATTTGTGTGTATTTATTTGTGTGTCCCAGGGCCCCTTTACTTTGGGTCGGACGGAAGGGAAGGGGGGATTGGGAAGGGGGGTAAGAGATCTGCTGCATGCAGCCGGCCTCGGCCCCGCCGCCTGGCGCGTTCCTCGACACACGGTGGCGTCTCCGGCGCTGGGAGGCGCCAAGAAAACCAGCTGCCTGACCTGATTCGCTCACTCCTCCTCCTCCTCCTCCTCCTCCTCCTCCTCCTCCTCCTCCTCCTCCTCCTCCTCCTCCTCCTCATCCCGCTCCCCCCTCCCGCCCCCGCTCGCCCCGCTCGCCGGCCCCTCCCGCTGCCTCGGGGCCTCTGCAGCTGCCTGCGGCAAGTCCCGCCACCGTGCCAGCCCAGCTTTCTGGGTGGCGACTGTTCGAGGCGGCAGGGGAGGCCGCCACGCGTGACGCCTCGTGTCTCCAGGCTTGGGAGAGCGTTGATGAGGATGAGGATGATGAGGATGATGATGGTGATGATGATGGTGGTGGTGGTGATGAGGATGACGATAATGGTGATGATGAGGATGATGATGAGGAGGAGGAGGAGGACGACGACGAGGATGATGATGATGATGATGATGACGATGTTCATGATGATGATGATGATGATGATGATGATGATGATGACGATGATGATGATGATGGTGACGATGATGATGCTGCTGCTGATGATGATGAAGGTGGTTGTGGTGAAGATGATGACGACGACGACAACGGCGACGACGACGTCGACGGCGACGATGCGACGACGATGAAGACGACGAGGATGATGGTGATGATGCCGATGATAACGACTACGCGACAACGATGATGATGATAAGGATGATGGTGGTGGTCGTGGTGATTGTGGTTGTAATGATCATGATGATGATGATGACGACGACGACGACGACGACGCCACGACGAGGAGGGTTATGATGATGATGATATTGCTGATGCTGATGATGATGGTGATGATGCCCTCGACGACGACGGCGACGACGCCGACGACGACGACGCGACGACGATGATGATGATGATGATGACGACGACGATGATGATGATAACGACGACGACGACAGGCGACGAAGACGCCGACAGCGAGGCCACGACGCCGACGATGATGATGATCATGCTGATAATAATGATGATAATGATGATGATGATGATAATGATGATGATGGTCATGACGACAACGACGACGTCGACGACGACGACGGTGGAGGCGGCGGCGACGACGACGACGCGACGAAGACGACGATGATTATGATATTGATGATGATGGTGATACAGAAGATGATGGCGACGAAGACGACCACCGTGACGACGCCGACGTCGCGATGACGATGATGATGCTGATGATGATGATGATGATGATAATCATGATCATGATGATGCCGATGACGAGGACCTCGACGACGACGACGACAACAACTACGACTGCGACGACGACGACGATGACGGGACGACGACGACGAGGGTGATGTTGATGATGATGATGATGATGATGATGATGATGATTATTATTTTATTATTATGCTGGTGATTTTGATGACGCCGACGACTAAGACGCCGATGACGGCGACGACGACGCTGCGACGACGAGGACGATATTGATGCTGATGATGGTAGGGTAATGGTGATGGTTACGCTGATGATGATGATGGTGATGAGGATGAGGATGATGAGGATGACGGCGACGGCGACGACGACGACCGTTTGGCGATGATGACGATGATGATGATGATGATGATGGTGTTGGTGACGACGAACACGGTGACGGCGACGCGACGACGATGCTGATGATGATGGTGATGGTGCCGATGATGATGATGCCGACGACGACGACGACGCGACGACGATGACGAGGATGATTATGATGATGATGGTAATGATGACGACGGCGCCGACGACGACGCGACGACGATGGTAATGATGCTGATGCTGATGACGTTGTTGATGATGAGGATGATGCTGACGATGCCGATTATCACTGTGTTAATGATGATGACGATGCTGATGAAGATGATGCTGATGATGACGACGACGACACCGACGCGACGACTACGACGATGATGCGGATGCTAATGATGGGATTGACGTCGACGATGTCGACGATTTCGACGACGTCGACGTCGCGATGACAATGATAATAATGATGACACTGATGATGACAACGCCGATTCTGATGATGTCGACGATGACTACGACGATGACCACGATGATGATGGCGATGATGATGATGATGATGACGATGATGATGATGACGATGACGATGATGACGATGCCGATGACGATGATGGTGATGATGATGATGATGAGGATGACGATGATGACGATGCCGATGACGATGATGGTGATGACGATTCTAATGGTAACATCGATGATGATGATGATGACAAAGATGAGGATGATGACAACAATCTTGATGACAATGATGGTAATGACGATGATGATGACGATGATGATGATGATGATGATGATGATGGTGATGGTGACGATGATGACGACGATGCTGATTCCGATGGTGAAGATGATACTGATGATGATGGTGATGAAAATGATGATGGCGATGACGACAATGATGATGATCATGGTCATGACGATGATGATGATGATGATGATGATGATGATGATGATGCTGATGATGATGACGACGATGGTGATGGCTATGTTGATGACGACGATGATGACGATGACGATTGTAATGATGTTGACGATGATGATAACGACGACGATGATGACGATGATAGTGATGCTTGTGATAATGATGCTGATGATGATGACGACTACGATGCAGATGACGACTACGATGATGATGACGATGAATGGATCATGTTGACGACGATGATGACAATGATGATGACGATGACGATGACGACGACGTCGACGACGACGACGCGACGATGACGACGACGATGGTGGCAGTGATGATGATGTGATGATGATACTGATGATGATGATGCTGATGATGATGAGGGTGAGGATGATGATCATCATGATCATGATAATGATGATGATGATGATGATGATGATGGCCATGATGGTGATGATGATGATCATGCTGATGATGATGAGGATGATGATGATGACGGTGATGATGATGATGATGACGACGAGGATGATGATGAGGACGAGGAGGAGGAGGATCATGATTAGGATGATGAGGTTGATGATGGTCACGACGACGACGACGCTGATGATGGTTGGTCCTGGGGGAGGGCCCTAGTGTCCACGACCCGTTTCACTCAGGTCCCGCGTTCTTCATGTTAGTCGTTACTTGGTCCAACCCCCCCAGGGAACGTCAACGATCGTGCGTTGGGAGAGATCCTTGAGATGTCCTCACTGACTTGCTGGTGCTCGCGCGCAAACTATGGCGATCGCAGCTCACTCCCGCCCCAACGCGCCCCACTCCCCCCACCCGCGGCCCCACACCCACCCTCGGGTACCTACCGTTACCGGAAATAAAAAAAACATACCCTCCCAAGAGGATCGGGTGCCACAGTCGACCTGCCATCTTCCGTGTCTCAGCTGCTCGGTGTCTTCGGCGGTGCATGCGCCGAACAGGAGACAGTTTTCTTCATCCCCCGGCGATAACGGGCGTGACCGGTGGGGGGGGGGGGATGGGGGCCAGTCACGTCACGGTTCGCGGAAGCGCTGTCTGAGAATGCCCAGGATGGTTGATGGTTCATTCCCAGACGGCGCCAGCGCGAATCGTGACGTGACCAGAGGGGGCGGGGAGGGGGGCGGAGGGAGCGGGGCCGGTAACGGCCGCTAACGCGAATAATGGAAACATGGGCTTCGTCTGCTCTGATCCCACTGGGGCGGCCTCGGTGCTGGTCGCGCGCGCAAGGGGGGGTGGCGCGAGAGAGGCGGCCTTCTGAGATGGTCGGGAGCTTCGAACCCTGAGATCCCAAGATCCGAGCTTCGCAATTCTGGCACACTGGGCGTCTTTGCCCTGCTTCGGGCCCTGGGGCCCTCGGGCGTCATCGCAAATGACACACAGCGGGGTCCAGATCCCGGCCCCTCCGCCCCCGCCCCCCCGAGGCCCAGGGCACGGTCCTCGGGGCCTCCCTGGGCAGCCTCGAGCTGGACGCCGTGTGGCTGCAGGCCCGGCAGCCCCGCCCCGCGCGCTCGCAACGCCGCGGGCGTCGTCGCCGTCGTTGTTCAAAGTTCGAGGTCCGAGGAGGCTTCTCCTCGTGTTCGGCCCCTGGAGGCCGTTTGCGAGCCTCGGGACCGTCAAAAAACGATCCTCAAGGGCAGAAAAAACGCCCCTACCCTGGTTTACGAGGCGCTGTGCTCTGAAACTCCTGTGGGCTGACAGGGTAAGCCCTGCGTGATGTGCCGCGTCCTGGCGGCTCTAGGCTTTGGGGGTTCCCAGGAGGTTTACAGACCACGCACTTGTAATCCAGGGTAGGGTCGTTTTTTCATCCCTCAAGATCCGTGGTAAAAAACGATCCGTGGTCAAAAAACGATCCGTGGATGGACCCTGGTAAGGGTCTAGCCGAGGACCGATTTTAAGCCGATTTCAGTCGTCGTCGTCAACGGCGCTCAGGTGCGAACGTTTCAGGACCGAGTCGCGGCCGCCAAGACGCTGACATAAATGCTACTCTGGGCTCACTGGGCTTAGGAGGGGCTACTGTTTTCGGGCTGATTATTCTGCCTAGCCCCCCGCGCGCGCGGGCGCCTGCCGCTGAGCGCGTCTCGTCGTTGTCGTCGTCGGCGTCGTCCCTCCCGAGGTCCAGGAAGCTCGGCGCCCCAGGCGGCGGACATGTCTTGGCATCGCTCGGACGTGTGCATTTTTCCCTTCGGTGAGGACAATCGAGGAGCATCCTTGATCATTTGGCGAAAAAACCACGCACGAAACCGAACAAAAACACAGGGAATGGACGTCCGAGCGATGGCGAGATGTGGATAAAATCCCGAGCTGGGCGATTAGGGGTCCAGGGCAGTCTTGTTCTATGCAGGTCAAAGTTTACCTCGCGCCCTCAGAGGGTGCTGCGAGGGGCTCAACAGTTGCCACTGCGTTCCACTCCTTACTGGTCCGGCGGAGTGGTGCCTTGTGCAGACCGACGTGTCTGTGCCACTGGGGGGCCCAGCGGAGTGGAGTCCTGCACAGGTCAGGGAGTCTCCCTCGCTCTCGCAGATTGCTGCAAGGCTTGCAACTGCCGCCAAATTGCCGCGCCCCAGAGCGATGCATCGGAGCGGTGTCTTGCGCAGGTCAAACTCCTGGGCCCGCGCCGGGTGCTGCCAGGCGCTGGTGCCCCTTTGACGGGGGAGCCATACGCACGCGGGTCCAAATATCTCGTTCGCCATCCCTTTGTGGTGGTGAACGTGCAATTGTTGCAGATTTGCTGCCCCCGGGAGGACCAGCAGAGTGGTGTTTTGAGCATGCAGGTGAGACCATCTCCGTCGCCATCCTTTGTTGCTGCCCGTCACACAGCTGTCGCAACTTTGCCGCCTCCTCTGGAGGTCCAGAGGAGTGGCGCATGTTGCACGAATGGCAAAGTCTGTCGCCCTCGCCGGGTGCTGCCTCGGCGTGCAAGATTTCGCAACGTTGCTGCGCGCCCGTGGGGCGTCCAGCGGAGCTGCAGCTTACTCAGATCAGGGTGCCCCCTCGCGGCCCACGGTGACATTTGCAGGAATGATGTGTGCAATCCACGGCCTGAGAGCTCCCGCTTTTCGTCCCGAATCCACTTTAAATAGTCCAGGGGCCCGATGACGGGCCCAAGAGGCCGAAGTCGAGGAAAAACCGCCCAGATTGGAGAACACACACACACACACATCGTCGGAGATCCGGGAAGGTGTCCCCCTTCGCACGCTGGTCGAAGAGCCACTGCCGCGTGCCCTGGTGAGTCCAGCGGAGTTGCGTCTTCAAAGCTGGGAAGGACAAAGAGGCACCGAGAGCGCTACTCCCCGGACCTGTGGTACGTTCAGACTAGCATGTCAAGGAGAATCCAGATGTATCGACGTTGGCGCTCCAGGACGAGCAGTGGCATCGGTGCTTGTCCCTCGCCTCCCGAGACTCTGAGATCCGACGTTACGAACAAGTATGCGACATCGCGGAGCACCACACGACCGAAGCCCTATACAGTCGGGGCCCTGAAGAAGGAACCCTTTTCGTTGGGGACGGGCTCCGCTCCGCGTTCCTTGAGTGTTTCGCAGCCTGCCTCAGGTTTTCCTCCTGTTTTCGATCGGACATCGAAGCGTAGCTCATGGAAAAATGGGGCCTCGTTCCTCATTCAGGGCTCCTTGGGTCAACGCCCCGACTGTAGACCCCACGCTTCCACGGCATCCCTCGGACTCCTCGAGCCAGATTGGTCCGCAGTGGTCCCCCGGGGGCCCCCAGCCCGGACGCCTCCTCGCCGCCCGCAGGGCCCGTGCACGCTGGTCGAGGAGCCGGACGCGCCCTCGCCGGAGCCCGACGAGGTGGAGCCGTCGTTGGAGGCACCGCCGCGCCAGGAGAGCGCTTTTTTTTTTTCTTTGGGGGGGGGGGGGGGGGGAGATCGCCGGCGATGACGGGCGTGGCCGGGGGTGGAGAGGGGGGGATTCAGGAGGGGGAAAAACACACAGACACAATTAATCGTCGATTCCCAGAAAATATGGGGAAATATGGGAAGTGAGGGGGAGGACAAAAACCCAGAAAATATGGGAAAGTATGGGGGATATGTTTATTTGTGTGTATTTATTTGTGTGTCTCAGTTCCCCTTCAGGGATGGGGGCCAGTTGCCTCACGATTGGCGCTGGCGCTGTGTGGGGATGCCTAGGTATGGACGGTTCCCAGACGGCCCCGGCGCGCATCGGGACGCGACCAGGGGGGAGGGGCGGCGGGGCTGGTCCCTGGCGTGATTCAAGAGGGAAAAAAAAAACACAGACACAATGAATCGTCGATTCCCAGGAAAATATGGGAAACTATGGGAAGTGAGGGGGAAGACAAAAACCCAGAAAATATTGGAAAATATGGGGAATCATTTTATTTGTGTGAATTTATTTGTGTGTTCCAGTTCCCCTTCAATTGCGAATAATCCAGACTGCCAGTGTCCCGATTTCTTCGAGACACGGGCCCCCGACTTCTCGACCGCTTCCCCGGGTTTGCTTTGACTATCGAGCCGTTGTTGGAGCGCCCCCGAGGCCCAGCAGGGGCCACGAGAGGCCGCAAACTGTGAAGCATCTGCGCCCCGTTTTTGCCGAGACGCCCGATGTCTGGGAATACAGTCGGGGCGCTGAAGAAGGAACCCTTCTCGTTGGGGAGGGGCTCGGTGTTCCTTGATTGTTTTACAGTTTGGCTTGGGTTTTCCTGAGGTTTTCGATGGGAAATCCAAGCTGAACTTTTGGGATCAAGGGGCCTCGTTCCTTATCTAGGGTTCCTTAGGTCAACGCGCCGACTGTAATGTGCCAGCTTGAATCAGATCCTCATCCCCATCACTGGCATCACCTTATCTCCGTGCCTATCTTGCGGATCCCCTCGGGTTCTGGGGGCGCATCCTTGAGATTGCCATGGCCTTTAGGCCTCAGCGGAGAAGCGGAGGAGAGGCAGACCTCGTTGTGCGCAGACGCGGCGCCGACCAGAGAATCTGGCATGCACGCTCTAGCGACTTGTGATCAGGGCGGGTGGCAGTGGGCTGACATACTCTGCCGTCCAAGTAGCCCCGGGGCACAGAAGCTGCCGCCGACTGCCCCCTGATCTTCTCGTGTTGTGCCCTTGCCTCGGCCAGTGGTGCCCCAGCCTGGGTCAGGATTCTGGTTCTGGTGAGGGCCTTAGCTGCTTGCCTGGTATTTAAAACATCCTATAAGTCAAATCTAAATTTTGGAAGGGTGCTGCTCGAGAGTGCAGCCGCTCGCAGTAGCAGTCCATCTTGGCGCATGTGCGCGCGCAGTGCCCCTAATAATATCAGGGGTAGGGATTTTGTACTCGACGCAATCAAGCAATTGGCTCCAGCAGGACGGCCGCCGCGAGCACGAGGAGCAGCACGGCGCCGCGGAGGGCGCGCTCCCCGCGGCGGCGGCGGCGGCGGCGGCCCCGGGCGCGCCGCCCGCGGGCGGCAGCAAGGCAGCGCCCGCCCCGGCGGCGCTTCGGCGGCTCCACGAGTCCAGCTCGATCCGATCGATCCGATGCGATGTCGATTCCGCCCAGTCCGATGCGATTGGATTCCGATGGTGCGACGATGCGATGCGGCCCGACGCTTGCATAGCGCTGTCGTGCATCCGGGCGCAGCCGACCCGATCCGATTGCGATTCCTCCTGGCATCGCTCGGACGTGTGCGTTTTTTCTTCGGCGAGGACCATCGAGGAGAATCCTTGATCATTTGCAGAAAAAAACCACGCACGAAACCGAAAAAAAACACAGGGAATGGACGTCCGAGCGATGGCGATTCCTTGCCGATGCAGCGCTCGATTCGATCCAATTTACCGATTCGGTGCTGGCTGATCCTGCCCGCTCGAGGTGCCCACAGATCCGGGCGCTTCAATCTGTTGCACACCGGGCTTCGGCAGCGAACCATGGGAGCCCTGCGTGCCCTCGCAATGCCGTCCTAGGTCGCAGGCCTAGAGGTTGACACCAACACCAATTTCGGCGGTGTGCCTCCACCGAGGGAAGAAGATCCCGATCTCGATGATGGTGGTAATATTCTGGCTTCAAGGTGGCCGAAATATTACCACCAACACCGAAATCTAGGATCACCTTCCCCCATGTGGATGCAACCCCCTGTGTTGGTGTTGGTGCCCATTTCCAGGCCTCCAAGTCCTTAGATAGAGTGCGCTGGCGTCGACTAGCGTCTGGTGGTCGACGAGAGGGCGCCGACGTAGCGTCAGTAAGCGTCGATTGGTATCGATGCGCAAGAGCCAGCAAGATGGCATTGGAGGCCCTCGCGGGCTGCCACAGATCCATGAGATCCAGGGCGCTGCGGTTCTTGTTCGCACCGGGCGTGTTTTTCTCCCGGTTTGGGGCCCTGGCGCACAGATCGATCCGTCTCGAGAAGTACAGGATCCGGCTTGAATAAGGAACATTTACTTTTCAGAAGGGGCTCAGTCCTTCCTTTTGCTTGCATGCGTTCCGCCACCTTTTTGGCGGCGAGCCCCCCTAGTGTCCCTTCAGACGTTGGACGCGCGGGTCCGTTCCTTCGGACTTCGTAGACTCGCGTGGAACAAAGGGGCTCCGTTCCTTAGCTATCGTTCCTTAGGTCAGGCCGAATCCTGTACCGCAGAAAGGCGGGGCTCACCACCCACCAGGCCTCAATTCGCCCTCCATTTCCAGTGGGGAGGGGTTGGGGAACATGGACAAAAACACATGGAGCCCGTACCCCCCCCGCCCGAAATTCGGGTCAGATTCGGGTCTTCGGGTTGGGTTGGGGTGGTCTGGTAGGTAGTCGGGGGCTGCTCCGAGGGGCGTGGCCCACGGACGAGGCGCGGGGGGGGGGCGCCGCGAGGGGCACCATCGGGCCACCCCTCGCGAGAGCCAAGCTGGAGGGCCTCCTGAGAGCCAGGGGAGGCGGCCTTCTGAGGCGGCCGCCCCCCCCCCTCGCCCCCCCTCCTCCTCCTCCTCCTCCTCCTCCACCTCCTCCTCCTCCTCCTCTTGGTCCTCCTCCTCCTCCTCCTCCTCCTCCTCCTCCTCCTCCTCCTCCTCCTCCTCCTCCTCCTCTTTGTCCCCCCGGAGATCTCCGTTACGACGACGACAACGACGACGACGAGAGGGACGAGGAGGAGGAGGAGGAGGAGGAGGAGGGCCAGTGTGAGCCCAAGAGGCATCAGCGATGTTGGAATAAACCCTCCCTTCAGGCTCCCTCTCCACAGGCCCCTACAGTGGTTCATCTTTACTGAGGGAACTGCTTTGTTGGAAGACAACTGTTTGAAGATCCTGAAGCATGCCAAAACATTGTTCTCGGGATTCCAACGCCACGGATCATCCTGACTGTTGCGTCTTGACAATCTTGGGACTTGAACACATGAGCCTGAATTTTTCCAACACGCAATTTCTGGTATTTTGATCATGGGAATCGGTGAAAACACTGCGAATTGTTAAGACGAGTGTGCGCGGCGCTAAGGCGAGAACCACACTTTGAAAACGACTCCCCCTCCATCCGTGAAGCTCTTGCAAATCTGTACGACAAATGCGCGCGGCGCTGATGATGCGAGAACCACATGTTAAAACCACTCGTTCTCAATCCGTGAAACGCTTGCAAATGTTTACGGCGAACTTGCGCGGCGCTAATGCGAAAATCACACTCTGAAAAGGAACCGCCTTCAATCGGTGAAACCTTTGCAAATGTTTACGACGAATGTGCGCGGCGCTAAGGCGAGAGCCACAAGTTGAAAAACACTCGCCCTGAATCCGCGAAACCCTTGCAAACTTTTAAGACGAATGTGCGCGGCGCTACGGCAAGAGCCACATTTTGAAAACCACTCGCCCTCAATCCGTGAAACTCTTGTTGCAATTTTTAAGACGAATGTGCGTGCGCTCAGGCGAGAGCCACATTTTGAACACGACCTGCCCTCCATCTGTGAAGCTACTGCCACTTTACAGCTCCAGAGTCATAAGTGGTGAGGAAGTCTCAGGCGAAACGCCCGGCCCGCCCTAAAAACTGGCCTCGGGGTGCGACAGGGAGAAGTTATTCACGAGGAGAAAGGAATGGAGGAGGGTTGAGGGGGAGGTGCAGGAGAGTGGGGGGTGGGGAGGGGCGTGGGACGGAGACGATGAAGAAGAGAGATAGGAGGGGGACGGGTAAGAGGAGACGGAGGGCGAATAGGGGACTTCACCGCCCCCCTCCCCTCACACGCCATGCCTTGTCGTACCTTCTGCCGGCCTCCCTCGTGGTTCCTCCCAGTTCTTCTTGCTCACCCCGGTGACGGCGTCGACATTGCCCACGGTTTCAGGGCGACGACGTCGAGGAGAGCGTCAGCGACAACGTCGACGATGACGCGGACGACGACGATGACGACAATGTCCACGCGACCGGCGGCTGCGGCGCGCGGCGGCGCCCGGCGACGGCGCTTGCGGAGGTCGGCCTGAGCACGGTGCAGGAGCCGCGTGGGCGCCCGCGGCGCGGTCTCGGGCTCGCGCCCTCCTCGCCCCCCCGCTCCCCTCCCGGGTCGGACGAAAGAGTGTGGACAGGGAGCTGCTCCGCAGCTCCCCCTCCTTCTTCTTCTCCTCCTCCTACTCCTCCTCCTCCTCCTCCTCCCACTCCTCCTCCTCCTCCTCCTCCTCCTCCTCCTCCTCCTCCTCCTCCTCCTCCTCCTCCTCCTCCTCCTCCTCCTCCTCCTCCTCCTCCTCCCCGGGGGCCTGGAACTGCTGCACGCAGCTGGTTGCGGCCCCGCCGCTGGGGCGCTTTCATCGTCACGCGATTCGCTGACATTCCCCCCTCTCTTTCGTCCGACCTGCCCCTCGCCCCCTACCCCTGCTCTCCCCGCCCCTCGGCCCCTCGCTGGCGTTCTCGTGCACGCCCTTCTTCGGGGCCTCCCCGGAGGCGTCTCCGCGGCCACCTGTCGCCTCCGCCTCGAGAAACGCGCCAGAACGAAACCCCGGGAGGGGTCCAGGGGCCGATTTTGAGCGGATCTCCATCCTCGTGGCCAAGGGGCTCGCGCTGGACCTCCCACGATCGATCCGGATGTTCCTGGAGATCTCTGGATGTGCCTCGGCTCATTTTGGACTGCATCAGTCTTGCGCCGAGCTGCATCGATTTACCTGGCCCGATTCCCGCAGGTCGATTGGAGAAGGGTCGGCAAGCCCTTGGAGTCGTTGATAGGCATGAGTACTATATATATATATACACAAATACACATGCGTGCACATATCGATATATACATGTATATATAGATGTACCCTACATGTATATATATATATATATATATATATATATATATATACATATATCGGCGCACCGGGTCCGGGGGCCCGGGGCCGGGACCTCGACCACAAATGTGCGCCCCGGGGGGCCCGGAGGCTCGTCGGGGCTTGCCGGAGGCCTCCCCAGTCAGACAAGACGGCCCAAGAAGCGCCCAAGACGGCCCAAGAAACTTCCAAGAGGCCTCCAAGAGGGCTCCGAGATGCTGAAGATGGCCTCCAGACGTCCAAGGACGCCCCCAAGAGGCCCCAAGAAGCCTCCAACATGCGTCCCAAGAGGGCCCCTAGACGCAAAAATTGGCCCATTCCCTTCGTAAAACGTACATTTTCAACAAAGTTGTCTTTTGGGCTTTCCGACGTTACAGGACGGCCCAAGAGGCGCCCAAGACCGCCCCAAGACGGCCCAAGAAGCTTCCCAGAGGGCCCCAGGACAGCCCAAGAGGGCCCCAAGACGGCCCAAGAGGCGCCCAAGATGGCCCAAGAGGGCCCCAAGACGGGCCCAAGAGGGGGCCCAGAGGGGGACCACGAACCGCAAGCTCGAGCCTTCCGCCCCAAGAGGCCGCCAGGAGGCCCCCAGGAGGCCCCTCAAGAGGCCCCAGGAGACCCCAGACGTCCAAGGACGCCCCCAAGAGGCCCCAAGAAGCCTCCAACATGCGTCCCAAGAGGGCCCCTAGACGCAAAAATTGGCCCATTCCCTTCGTAAAACGCACATTTTCAACAAAGTCGCCTTTTGGGCTTTCCGACGTTACAGGACGGCCCAAGAGGCGCCCAAGACCGCCCCAAGACGGCCCAAGAAGCTTCCAAGAGGGCCCCAGGACAGCCCAAGAGGGCCCCAAGACGGCCCAAGAGGCGCCCAAGATGGCCCAAGAGGGCCCCAAGACGGGCCCAAGAGGGGGCCCAGAGGGGGACCACGAACCGCAAGCTCGAGCCTTCCGCCCCAAGAGGCCGCCAGGAGGCCCCCAGGAGGCCCCTCAAGAGGCCCCAGGAGACCCCAGACGTCCAAGGACGCCCCCACGACGCTTCGCGTCACCAATTTCTTCTCACAACGATTCCTGGGTCTGTGACTCGACAGAACCTAAGCGCGCGCGAAGCGCGCGCGTGGTTCTAGTATATATATATATATATATATATATATATATATATATACACAACGTCGCCGCGGAGGCCATGATGTTGTCCATATCCTGGCCCCTCGTTGGGGTTCGGGGCGTGAGCAGGAGCACGGATATAACGTTGATCGCCCATGTGGAAAGTTGGCAGCGCACCAGCAACCACATGCGTACATCGGAGGCTGGGGGGTAATATTGCAGTGGAACGGAGACCCCCAACTGGGAAATCGTTTCGTTTCGTTCGCGTCGTGAGTGTGGGCGAGGCGAAGCTGCGTGGGCGCGCGAGCGGAATGAACCCGCCGTTGCTAGGGTGAAGTCAAGACAAATGATCCGTAAGGGCTTCGCCCCCTGCCGCCGGCCCCCTCTCTCGGAGAATGGGCCATGGAAGAGCTAAGTCATGAGGCTTTGGCGCTGTCGTGCAGCAGTATCGGAACTTCATGCGAGGCCGATTCGTAAGACGTGTATGGTTTACGAGCTTGGTTACCACACCTTGGGATTAAAGGGCCGAGGGAGTACTCGCAGTTTGGGTTACCACGCCTTGCAATGGATGTGCGTGAGGGGTGGCACCGAATTTCAGAAATGTGGCAAATCCCATGTGTTTTTGGACCCTGACCCCGCGGATCTGCGTGAGGGGTGGCACCGAATTTCAGAAATGTGGCAAATCCCATGTGTTTTTGGACCCTGACCCCGCGGATCTGCGTGAGGGGTGGCACCGAATTTCAGAAATGTGGCAAATCCCATGTGTTTTTGGACCCTGACCCCGCGGATCTGCGTGAGGGGTGGCACCGAATTTCAGAAATGTGGCAAATCCCATGTGTTTTTGGACCCTGACCCCGCGGATCTGCGTGAGGGGTGGCACCGAATTTCAGAAATGTGGCAAATCCCTTGTGTTTTTGGACCCTGACCCCGCGGATCTGCGTGAGGGGTGGCACCGAATTTCAGAATTGTGGCAAATCCCATGTGTTTTTGGACCCTGACCCTGCGGATCTGCGTGAGGGGTGGCACCGAATTTCAGAAATGTGGCAAATCCCTTGTGTTTTTGGACCCTGACCCCGCGGATCTGCGTGAGGGGTGGCACCGAATTTCAGAAATGTGGCAAATCCCATGTGTTTTTGGACCCTGACCCCGCGGATCTGCGTGAGGGGTGTCGATTTCGAGCCCCCCCAGCAATTCAGACAACGCGCCCAGGGGACGCTAAAAGTCTTGTTTGGGCCTCCCCCCCCTCGCGCGGTCAATCAACTAGTTACAGTAACCAGCAAGAAGTCAACTAGTTACAGTAACCAGCAAGAAGCAGAACTGTAACACTGGAAACTAAAAGCTACAACTGGCACAGGAAACTGCGAACCCGCGCCTACAGCCTGGTGGCCCCACAAGGGGGCCGGCGGATTTCCATTTTACGTGCGTTTGCATGTTCGGCGCGCGTTCGGCGCAGGTCGCGGCCATTTTGAACGCTCCAACGGACCTCCCGTTGTTGGCTCGGAGCAGCGGCTGGACTAGGGCGACGATATCTATACATATCCACTGCTCCTGGCCAGGCCCATCCTGGGCCCAGGAGCGGTGTATATGCCTCCCTGGCCAAGCCAGGAGGGCGTATACACAGCTCTTGGGCCCAGGATTGGCCTGGCCAGGAGCAGTGGATATGTATAGATATCGTCGCCCTATGGACGCGCGGCAGAGCATTTCGAACCGATCGCTCTTTTTTCGACCCAAGGGTTGGTCGATGGCACTGCTGCCTGCCGCCGAGGTGCTCGAGCCGAGAGCGCGCCGAGGCGAGGTCAACGAAATGGATTTGGCATCGAGGATTGATACCAGGAGGGAAAAAAACACACAGACACAATTAATCTTCGATCCCCAGGAAAACATGGGAAAATATGGGACTTGGGGGGGAAAACAAAAACCCAGAACATATGGGAAAATATGGGGACTATTTTTATTTGTGTGTATTTATTTGTGTGTCCTAATTTCCCATTATGATAACCGAAAAGGAGGATCGAAAACGAAGAGGGGGTCTGCGAGGACCGAGGTGGAGGAGGATCGAGGAGGGGTATGACGATACAGGGTCGAGGCTCGAGAACCGACAGGGAAGAGGAGGAAGAGAAGGGATATCGATCAAGATGATCGGTTACCGAGGAGGAGGCAAAAGGAGGATGATGAGGAAGGGAGAGGATCCTGGAGAAAAACCGAGGATCGAGGAGGGCGAGGAGGAAGATATTCGAGAAGGGGGGGAGGTTCGAGGAAAAGGGTCGCGAACCGATGGGAGAGAGAGGGGGAATAACAGGATGCTTTCCATGGTTCCGCTTCCCTACCTCCCCGTCCCTCCGCACGAAAAGGCGCTTGTTGTCTTCTCCGTAACGCCCTCCCCAGCATTCGTTCCCTGTTCCAGCGCCTTCGACACTTATCTCAAATTATCCTTACTCCAGCCCGTTCCCACAGCTCTTTCCCAACGCTCCCATCTCTTCCCCAGTGCGCTCCGCTCTACTTCTATTCCGTTCCGCTCCACTCTATATCTCCCCGCTCCTGGGAACCAGACCGCACATTCATCCCCATTCGTCGCCCTTCTCAGCACTCACGGCCTACTATTTCTATTAGTTGTTCTTATTCGCATTCCCCGCCTCCCAACTGGGGTTCTTGTTTCCTCTGGGCGCATCGCCCAGTCCGCCACACACACCCTCCCATCATGATCATCAGCATCACCATCATCAGCAGCAGCATCATCATCATCCTGATCACCGTTGTCATCACGACCAGTACCATCCTCGCTTCGTATTATTATCTGCACCTCCATCATCACCATCATCGCCCTCATCATCGTCATCACCATCTTCTTCATGTGCATCTTCATATCCATCTTCATGATCATTACTATCGTTATTCAATTGAACGCCCCTGAGGGGGCAGACACCACCGCCCCACCAGTTTGGGAACGCGGAGCTGTGGGAGGGGTCGAAGACGGCCCGAGAGGGTCCAACAAGACGTGGAAAAGGTTCCAAGAAAGCCCCCCCAGAGGGGCCCGAGAGGCTCCGGAAACGGCCCAACTGGCCACCCAAAGGTGTCGAAAACAGCGGACGAAA